CTGTGAGGCCCCACAGGCCTGCAGCGCCCCCCTGAGGGCAGGAGGCCCCATGGCGCCCACCTGTCTGATGGGCTCGGGGACGCGGTGGCGGCAGCAGGAGTGCGTGAGCCGCACGGCGGCGTCGAGGCTGATGCCGTGGCCCACGGAAACGTACACGGGCTTAGAGCTACGGTCGGAGCTGCGCAAAGCCTGGAATAAAGAAAAACAGAGATATTCAGTAACGAAGTAGAGCTACTGAAGTACTGTACTTAAGTACCAAAATGCAGTATCTATGCTTTATTGGAGTATATATTTTTCCCTACTTTTACTTTTACTCCGCTACATATATTGGATTAATTCAACACTTTTACTTTCACGTTCTCAATCATTAATCGTTACTGATATGTAAACATAATGATAGATTGCTCTGTCAGGGTTTGGGAAGCTGTCTCCTCATAGGCCGATTTGAGCCATCAAGCATAGCCAATAAGAAAAAGCCTCCCGAAAGATTGCGAAATCATGGCCTTCAAAAATCCCCCATCTAATCTGAAGAAGCATATCAAGGTAAGTTAAAAAATAAAATGACATATAAGCTAGTAAATAAGCGCTAGTTCAGTTCTCCCTGTTCACTCAGGACGTAGCAGCTAACGTTAGCTAAAGCTAACCTAGCTGGCTAGCTGTATGACAACGTTAGCTAAAGCTAACCAAGCTGGCTAGCTGTATGGTAACATTAGCTAAAGCTAACCTAGCTGGCTAGCTGTATGATAACGTTAGCTAAAGCTAACCTAGCTGGCTAGCTGTATGCTACATGCTAGCATAAAGGCTCAGCTCAGGATTCTGACTCTGGAATAATAAATAATAGTAGATGAAGTGCTGTTGATTGCTAATGCAGATGTAGTTTTACTGTAGTTTAAATTCTGTTATTCATATACTATCATTCCGCAATAATTTGACATTTGGATAACGGCTAATTCGGGCATTTTGTGATACAAGTAGGTGGATTTGTGACGGTTTCTGCTACTTTTTGGAAGCAACATGATGCTTCATGTTGATGCTTCTGGGCTGTTCCATCATAAGGTTCACCACCAGGCTAGTGTATATAGTAGATGAAGTGCTGTTGATTGCTAATTTAAATCAATTTCTCCTTGGAGATCAATAAACTATAAGTAATTCAATAATGCAGATGCAGTTTTCTGTTTTTTGTAAACACCTGTATGGCCTTTCACACCTTTGAAATAACATAAACAATATCTATCAAACTTTTGACTGCCTTTTTTAATATACACAGTACTTGTACTTTTACTTATACTTGTACTTTCGATACTTGAGTAGCAATTTTTGAAATACTTCTACTTGCAATACTTAAGTACAAAAGAAAATGGAGTACTTCCGTTCTTCCACTTAAGTAAGGAGTTGAAAGAACACTTCTACTTTTACTCAAGTCATTTTTTTTTTATATAGTCCTGGTCTGTGGAGGCCTGGTTCCTGGTTCCTGGTTCCCACCTTTCCGAGAACTCGTCCCGACGCAGTCCTGAGCGGGAAGCTGTCTCCTCCCTTCTGCAGGGCGGATATCTGGGGAGGCAGAGAGCGGCTTTATGGGCTCAGAAAGACGCGTTAAAAGTCCTAAAGCGGGAACAAACGATGGTGACAGTAAACTCATTCTGCCTCCATCTGTCACCCCCCAAAAAACACATCAATTAAACTTAAATCAGCCCCGACAGCTTTGTGGATATGTGCATATTAATGTCTTTCTGTGTAAAGACAGAAGTAGATAAGAAGCATTTCAGCAGGTGAATAGTAAACAGTGAATTATGACAGATTCACATAGTGCTTTGCTTTGACTAATCTAATAAAATTCATCGTTTATCAAAGATAAAACAGCTCCTACACAGCAGGAAAAGAAAA